TCCATAAGAGAAAAGCAAAGAGGGAAAAACAATGATATTATTTTCTACCCTATTATGTCTGTTCTGGAGTCCCAATGTGGTGCTGTAGGATAAGCACTGGAACACAAGGTTGGTTTGAACCTCAAGGTTAGCGGTTCAAACTCACCAGCTGCTCCTCAGAAACCTTATACACTGTCACTATGAGTCAGAACTGACTCGACAGCACTCAACAACAACGTCTGTACTGACTAGGTGAAAACTAACATTTAAATCAAGCATTAAATACATGGTGGTTGTATACCATTGAGTTATTTCCAATTCATAGCGACCCTATATAGAGTTTCAAAGGCTGTCAATTTTTACAGGAACAGAAAATTTCACCTTTCTCCCACTAAGCGGCTAGTAGACTCAAACAGCTGACCTTGCAGTTAGCAGTCCTAGCTTTTATTAAATGCATACATAGGTTAATATAATAAGCACACATTTATTTTCTGGTTTCATTAGCCAAGTAGGAAGCAGATTCAAATTTTAACAAAAAATTACATAATTTAGAATACAATCTATAAATCTGAATAGTGGTGACCACAATCTATACCTGATTTGATCTATTCATTATTAGAGAGGAATAGATATGACAAGACATCTGAATCAAAGTTAGATTTAGACCTAACAGAGCCAAACAAGATCGCATCAAGAACAACTTCCTGTGTTGTGAATCTTATAGCAGTAAAACTCACATGTAAACCTTCACTTAAAACAACATCAACAAAATAATGTCTCGGTTAATTCAGATTCGGAAATTACAGGATAACTGTTACACTGTTTCACTCCTACCTAGTACAGGATAAAGTGTATATGTGAAAGCCAAATTCTGAATTACAAGAAGATGCGTAACCACTTTCTTCCAGGAGGTGGCACAATAGGACCAAAAACTAGTAAAATGGAGAAAGAAAAAAAAAAAGCACACATATACATTTATGGGTGAAATTTTGCTTAGCAGTTTGAAACTACCAGCTGCTCCACGGGAGAAAGATGAGGCTTTCTGCTCCTGTAAAGATGTACAGCCTCAGAAACCCTGTACAGGGTCGCTATGAGTCAGAACTGACTCCACAGCACACAACAACAACACAGCGATTTGATAAAATTGAGAGGCAGACACTCAGACATCCCTTCAAGTATCCACTAGTGTAAAAGTCTTTACAAATCACTTATCTGTAAAGTCTGCTAAAAATTTGCTTTATATTTTACAGACTGTAAAGCTGTCAATACTAACTACTTTTTGAGAAAACAGTATATAAATGTATTTTTATCATTTTTTGGATAAGGTATACACTCACACTCAAAAACTGTTTATAAAAATGCATGTCTTCGTCAACCCAAATGCAAATTTTATGCTATAAAAGCTAAGAAAAGTTACCTTTCAAAAAATTAAAAACGAAAAAACTATATATACATTTTCCAAAATGAGTTACTTAAAAATATAATGGCACAAAAAGTATTAACAAGAGCAACTGCAGACATATTAATTTTGTTTACTTCATAAAATTTTCATTTTAAGATTGGTAAAAAATAGTAACATTGCCTTAAGATTTTTATGGAATCATTTTTTCCTAAAGATTGCACCCATGTCTATGCTTGTCTAAAAGAGAAAGTTGAAACAATACAAAATATTTTAGATGCTAGCTAGCTCTTTGATTCTTCCTTGAAGTGGTATCAGCACTCAATCCTAAATTAATGCAGGAAATGAAAATAATCTTAAAAACAAAGATACAGACGCACACACCAAGATAAAATCTAAATAAAAACTCGAGTGCTTTCTTTAATTCCTATCAAGAAACATCTATTTAAAAGCATGAACAGTGGCAGTTTCATTTTACCACAATGGAAACCTCCAATCCAACAATTGTACATTTAACAACTAAAAATATCTCTACCCTTACAAAGAAACATTAATGGAACTAAGATTACATTTATAAGAAAAATATAGCGAGTTCACCAATTTTAAGACTTACTGTTAATTAGACAGAGATGAAAGGAGAGCAAGTGTGCCTAACTTAAAAGGATACGTAATACGGTACGAACCAAACTTACGTCCTGTTCATGAGGTTTCTGATTAATGAATGTATGCTTTGTCAAAGTCATCTCTTTTACGCCTATCTTCCTAACAACGTCATATACTTTTCTGACCTTGAACACCTGGCTTCTTGGCGTTTTATTCCCATTGTAGCCCATGTCGATGCCATTACTGGGAGAGGATGGACCAATTCGAAAGACGTGACAAAATATTCTCACAATCCTTAAAAGGCTCTTCATTTGAGCATCATAATTGCTAGACAGGCTGAAAATCAAAATATAAACTTATCAGAAAAAGTAAAACAAAAGTGGATGTTGAAGTATTTCTTTTAAAACATTTGCATTCCTACTGAGCACGTTTCATGACAACTGGAGTAAACTTACTGTGCATGTATAGAACATTCTCAAACTGAAACATCTTAAAGTGTCCCTAAATAATAGGTTGTCTTATGACCACAAAAAAATGTAAACAAAAAATAAAATTATATATATCTACCTCACCATGGAAAAACGATGACTGAAATTCAATGGACATTAAATCATACTGACTATCATATGAATTTGGACAATTCAGAGGCCCTTCAGAATCCCACAGTACCTTAGCAAATTGTTCATCATCATGAATCTAGCTCAATCATTATTCTTCCACACAGATATTTTAAGTCTACATCCTGCTTTGGATCTAGTGTGGCACTGAGGGTTAATGCATTGGACTTCAAGGTCAGTTTGAAACACAAAGTAAGCAATTCATGCTCATCAACTGCTCCCTAGAAACCCTATACAGGGTCGCTATGGGTCAGAACCAACTCTACAGCACTTAAAAACATCCTTGTTTGGCGCTGTAGGATAAGCACTCGACCATAAGATCTGTTTGAACTGCAAGATCGGTGGTTCAAACTCACAAGATGCTCCTTGGAAACCCTATACAGGATTGTTATGGGTCAGAACCGACTGGACAGCACTTAACAACAACATCTGCACTGAATCTAATGACTTTTTTTGTTTTTGTTTTTTTGCATTCAGGGAATGGTTTTACAATGCCATTACTACCATGTTATTGGTATTAAAACTTTTGGACAAAAGCAGAGTAAAGAGTTACATAAACTTCAGCATACACAAAGGCATTGTCTATGTATAAATTTAGTTATATAAAGAGTATCCTTATCTTCCCTTAAGTGTATTTTGCCCAGTTCATTTAGTCTTCCTTTAGGTTATATTTATGTATCCTTTAACATTAAAACAAATGAATAAGGATTAATAATGCTGAGTCTTGGTGTGGCTCTATAGGATGAGTATGGGACTGCTAACCATAAGGTTGGTGGTTTATATCCACCAGTGATTCCTTGGAAACACTATACACAAAGTCACTATGAATTGGAACCAACTGGACAGCATTCAATAACAGCAACAACAATGTGGGTGGGATTCCTGGTATGGTGCTGTAGGTGTGAACCACAAGGTCGTCAGTTCAAATCCACCAGCTGTTCTTCAGAAACCCTATAAAGAGGGGTCACTATGCATCAGAATCAACTCAATGGCACTTAACAACATAGTAATGTGGGAGGAGTTCTGGTGTGGCCCTAATGAGTAAGCAATGTCAGTGGCTGAAATCCACCAGCTCTTGCTCAGAAACCCTTTACAAGTCAGAACCAACTCAACAGCACTTAACAACAACAAAGTTAAGTGGGAATAACTAAATGCCTACTTCTAGAATAATAATCTAGAATGGAGTCTTGGCATGGTGCTGTGGAGTAAGTTTGGACCACAAGGTCAGTTTGGACTGCAAAGTCAGTGATTCAAACTCACCAATCACTCTTCAGAAACCTAAGAGTCAGAACTAACTTAAGAATGAAAAGTATTCCAGTTAGATGGATGCTCAATTACAAGACATTTTCTATCCTGATGACATGCAAATTGACATTCTGTGACATTTACACTTCAATAGTCATGTTGCTTCCTCATTAGCTCAGAATTATTAAATTTTCAATAAATATTAGTTATCAGTTACTATGGTTAGTAAAGTAAACAGCTATTGCTGTATTTGACTGTGACAACTATAGCACATTAACAAAACTTTTTTCTCTGCTTTTTTAATCTTACAAAGGAGCCTCGTGTGCCTGGGGGCAGAAGGTTGGTTGGCAGAATGCACCCTTTGGACATTTAAATAGATATATACTTTTGTTTTGTAACTGTACATCAGATACTTTTGCTTTGTTCATTTGTGAAATACAAGATGTAAACGAGAGCCATAGGAGGAAGCAGGATAACTGTTGTTGTAGGGAGGAGATTGTAATCATTGAAAATAAACAAACAGTGTAATTTGCTGAATGTAATGCTGATGATCTTGTCTGTAAACCCTCACCCGATTCACAACAAAAAGTTAAAGAAAAATAAAAAGAAGCCTCCATGACACAGTGGTCAAGTACTCAACTGCCAACCATAAAGTTGGTGGTTCAAACCCACCAGATGTGCTACAAGAGAAAGACGTGGTAATCTGCTTCTGTAAAGATCGGGTAGTTCTATTTTGTCCTCTACAACCACTATGAATCAATATCAACTCTATAAATATGGATTTGGGTTTGATCAGCAACTTTGTGTCAAATATGCATAGAACCATTAATTCAGCTTGTACAGATTTTTATAAATTCACATTTATGGAGTATTTCTGATTTTATCATAAGATTGCTTAAAAGGACAAAATTAAAGAGAACTTCAAAAAGTTCATGGATATATTCCATTATCTTTCACTTCTGTTTTTTGACAAAAGTACCCTCATAGAAATGTAGTTTAGACAGAATGATTTCCTTCTTATATTATGCTACAGCTCTTGGGAAAGGTAGCTACAATGACTAAAATTTTTCTATAAAAATAGTGTACATTTTATTTTCCACTGCAAAAAAAATCCTACATGCAAGAACACTTCAAAAAATGTATGGAAAAATTCTATTACCTTTTAATTCCATTTCTCCATGAACTTTTTGAAGCCTCCTTATATAAAATACCTGTTTTAAGTATGTGATGTAGGGAACACTTTGAGTTATCTTACTATAACAAGCATTTTCTTAATGGAATTTGAACACCATCATCAATTATACCAACTCCTCACTTATCAACTGTCTCGTTACCCAACATTCCACATTTATGACCAAACTAAAAAAATATCGACTATCTGACTATTTTTCACACTAACTACGCATGTCCAGCAGTAATGAATGCCACAGCAAGAGTAATATTGGCTGCTATCATTAAGGTTATATATAAGGTGGCTGACCCATGGTTCTTAGTGGTCTGACAGTTATGCAATGATGTCATTTGGAAGCAATGTAACAATACATTCATCTCAATTGTGTAATCTGATGTGGTTATCCTCCATTTTTGCATAATGCTGATTTTCACATAGTGACTTGATCTTTGGAATCAAACCATGTCCTTACTTAAGTAAGGAGTGGATGGATCCATATGGTGTCATAATTTTGCATCACTTTACTCAGTTGAAGCCAAGTCATTTGTCTAAAATGCATTTCACTTTCTAACCAGTGAAATATCTCTTTTCTATAATGCAAAAACTCATAAAATACCAACTTCACCTTAACTTTCTCTAGTTGTCCATGAGACAGACTGAAGTTGTCAGAGACCTCATTTTGCTTGGATCTAATACCAACACTTATTGAAACAGCAGTGAAGAAATCAAACAACGTATTGCATTAGGCAAATCTGTTTTACAAGACCACTTTAAAGTGTTTAAGAACAACAATGTCAGTTTGAAGACTGGGGTGTGCCTGACTCAAGCCATGTAATTTTTAATAGCTCCATATACATGAGAAAGTTGGGCAATGAATAAAGAAGACCATAGAAGAATTGATGCATTTGAGTTATGATGTTGGAGAAGAATATTAAAAGTGCCGTGGATGGCTAGAAGAATAAACAAATCAATATTAGAAGAAGTTTCAACCAGAATGTGCCTTAGAGAGCAGGATGGCAAGACTTCATTTCTCATATTTCAGACATATTATCAGGAGGAACCAGCCCCTGGAGAAGGACATCATGCTTTAGTAAAGTTGAGGACTTCCAATGGTAGACTCGCACAGTGGCAGGAGCAATGGGCTCAAGTTTAACGATTGTTGAGAATGGCGCCAGACTGTTCTGTTGTGTATAAAACGGCTATGAGTCAGAACCAACTCGATGACACCTATCAATAATGAAAATAAATACTCTTACTCAGTGTCTTACCAGATATATCTGTGCTATCTGTTTTCATCTGTAGGTCAGTAACCACACCTTTACCTTCAATGATAAATATGTATATGTAAATACATTATGTGCAAAAAGACAGTTGGCAAATTCTTATCATTATCAAATACTCATAGGGTGAGTTAGACAACTGTTGCTGTTAAGCGCCTTCGAGTAGATACCAACTCATAGCGACCCTGTATAGCGTTTCCAAGGAGAACCTGGTGAGTTTGAACTACCAACCTTGCGGTTAGCAGAATAGACAATAGGTTACAGAGTAGACAATAGTCTCTCCATTATCTCAAAAGTACACCAGATACCACAATCGGCACTAATTAATATACTGAATTTTATAATAAGCCACGCATGCTATGTGGGCTTTTTTTTTTTTTT